CCCCAAAACCCCAAAACCCCAAAACCCCAAAACCCCTTTTATCTTTGGTTTTGATGAAATAGAGTTAAAAAGAGGTCCTGGGTATTTATATTTTGGTAGAAATTAACCAACGTTTTGGAGGCCAAGCTTGATACCTATTCCAAACAACTCAACCAGCATGTTTCTGATAGGCATTCTGTCATGCCTGATGACACTCATCTTAATTTCTCTGAGATTTCTTAGAGGCCCATCATTTGTCACAAATTTCTCTGCTCCTGCAAAAGGAAGCCTTCCAGTGCTCATATGGGTTGACTCAGAGCCAACGACTTTGAAAGCATAACCTGATGTGCAGAGTAGCGATCCGGTAATATCGATCTGCTCAAGTGCTTCTCCCTTGGAGAGGATCTTAACCAACCCATCGTCAGATAGCTTGCAGTTCAGTAGCTTTAATGTCTTAATAGTGTTGCGCTTCTCCATTGCTTCAGAAAGAATCTCTGCACCATGGTTGTCAAGCAAACCACCGATCACTAATGTGTTGAGATTAATGCATGCATCCGTGATGAAGTCTCTGATGACCTCCTTGTTGAATTCATCTAAGAAATTAACTTGTATTCTTACCGATTAGAATTTGATCACAGTCTATTAGATTATAACAAATAGCTAGTTTCTTGAGTGAAGTGAAAAATACTAGGTCTTTGAGTAAGTCTATTCCTTGCTTCTGGCTTACAGTCCAGAAACTGAGATTTTCTAAGAGCTCAGCTATCTCAGATCAGTCAGCATATGCGGTGGTCACTGCATCATTGAGCTCATACAAAGAGAGGGATTTTAGTTTAAGATGTGGCAAATGCTTTGCGAAAATATCTAAATTTTTATGTAATTTCTGTAAGTCTGTAAAAGGCAAATTCTTAGAAGAGTTGATACTAAAGCCTGTTAATTTCATACAACCTCTGAGACAATAATAGAAGTCGGCATCAATGTTCATAGCTGCATAGATACTGAGGGATTCTAAATTTTTGCATCTTCTAACAAACCTCATCAAAGCTCTCTCAGTTAGTCCTGTCAATGTAGTGACATCCAACGTTTTCAAGCTGACTAAATTAAGGGCTTCAATTGCAAAGATATCATTAGATTTTATGACATTTGTGCATTTAAACTGAATACTCTCTAGTTGTGGAGACTTGGTCATATACATTTTAAATATCTCAAAAGGAATCCCTTGTTTAGAGAAAGTAACTGATTTCCTTCTCATCGAAATAAGGTCATTAAAGTATCTATTCACTTTCTTCATCTCATCCAGCTCAAATTTAGTTCCAAAATCGATGATTATTCATAAGAGTTCTTCTGGGAGTCTGCAGATGTATCATTTTTCAGGATCTATTTCATCTTTTCCTAAAGAAACAGTCTATGTATTAGTAATAATTTTACCTTTTCCTCCTCTTTATTTTCTTCAGTCTGTCTCTTTTGTTTTATTCTCTTTTCTTCCCTCAAATATTCAGAGATTTTCTTTGGATTTCCACTCATGAGAGCCTTCATCTTTCTTTTTCTATTAATTTTTGGCAAATTGTCATTAAGGTTTACGTTCTTGATGCTCCTAGCTGATTTAGGGGTAGGGTTTGACTTCATTCCAGCATTCTCCTTCTGACCCATTTGCTTATTTTTCTTAGTATGATGTTCATTCATTCAGGTAATCATCTTCTTCAAACTTTCCACTGAAGCATCGCTCATAAAAAGCTTAAGACATCGTTGCATGATATCCTTTGGGAGCCTCTGTCCCTTCTTCGGTACACTATCCTCGCTCATTATAAAGAATGTGACTCTCTGTTTTTCAATGTCTTGGCTGATTAACTTGAGAACCTGCTCCATTCCAAACTTGAGTACCTCTTTCCCTGACTTGGTCTGCTTCAGCTGGAACACTAGGGATTCTCCACTTTCGTCCTTGATCCAGTAGACCAGCATCGTGATCTGCTTGTTCATTTCCTTCTTGTTTGTCATTTCAGTCAGGTTTTCCCACTCGTTAAGGACTACTTGTGCTGGCGAAAGTTCCAACTGTGCTTGGCTCAATCCTGCAACGACCTATATTAGACATGAGTATCTGTTTTTTTAGGCTCGAATTTTGGTGGTGATAATCGGAAAAGAGTGAGGTTTAAAATGGAGTCTTGCTTACATGTAAAGTATACTAGTCTTTTTCTTTCATAACCAAAGAATAACTGGTCCATTTTCCCTCCAAAAACTTTAAATTATCTCAACTACTAAAAATCAAACAGGGGTTTTGGGGTTTTGGGGTTTTGGGGTTTTGGGG